TTGTATCCAACAAGGACCCAGTGGTGGGCAGGGCGAGATCGACTGGAGGCCTGGTGGGAACAGCCCTCTACACTGGTTTGTGGGTTTAGGGTTTAGGGGTTTAGGGTTTTGGGTTTGGGGGTTTAGGGCTTGGTATGGAACGGGGGGATGGGTTGCAGGGCCTACTGTAAGGGACCGAAAGCGACTATCAGAGAGATCCATTCTGCCAGCCCATACTGAGAAGCAGAGACTCTTTTCAGTTCTCGGCCGGCGGGTTTCGGGGTTTTGGGTTTGGGGCTTCTAGCGTTTAGGATTTATTTAGTTGGGGCTTGGGGACTGCTGGGTTGGGCTCTTGGGGTGTAGGTTTTAGGGTTGAGAGTTCAGGGTTTAGGGTTCAGGGCCTAGAACTGGGTCCTTGTTGGATGCAATTTTACGTCTTTGTTGTAATATAAACCCAATTAAGGATCAAAGCTGATCATTTTTAATATGGCCCCAAGAGGGAGCCAGAGAATCTAGAGAGTCAGTGTTTGGTCTTACTTAATGGGCCTAGAACTGCAGACTGTGGGGGGGAGATCGAGGGTGGGAGGAGGGCTTTTGAAGCACCTCTGCTTGCTTTCTGCTTGAAGCCAAGAGCTTAGGCTGACATGCAGAATCAGTTTAGGGTTTATTACGGTTTAGGGTTTAGGGTTTAGGGTTTTAAGGTTTAGGGTTTAGGGTTTAAGGTTTAGGGTTTAGGTTTTAAGGTTTAGGGTTTAGGGTTCCTTTGCAAACACCAGCATGCACTGATACGCACCTTTCATCGTTCCCCCTCTTTCTGGATGGTTACCTTGTTACATTGCCTGGTGTCTTCCTTTTTCTGATGAATCTTTCTGACTCTAAGTTTTCTGCTTTTTGTCTCCTTGCACCTGCTCGTTGCGTTTCCGGTGTCCGGCTGCATTTGCCGTAGGATTTTAGGGTTTCCTGGCCTTTAACCTTGGCACTGTCCAACTTCAAGGGAAGATCTGCAAAGCCTTCTTCCAATCAGCCTAAGTCCCTAAGCTTGAACCCTGAAGCCCCAAGCCCAAAAATGATTGAACTTTATATCCGAAGCAAAAGAGCCTAAACCCTAAACCCTGATGCAGGCCCATTTGAAGGAACGAACCCTTAAAGGCAGCCAACTCTCAAAACCCCTACTACATTTTTGCACCACCTGCCAGGGAGACGCATGAAATCGACACGGGCGACGCGGCCTTGGCTGCTGTGAAGGTCGACGGATAGGATTTCAGGGCTTCTTGGGTCTAGGGTTTAGGGGTTCAGGGGCTTAGGGGTTTTATTGGCCTATTGGTGTAGGGTTTAGGGGTTTAGGGCTTAGGGGTTTATACGGTGTTTACAGGGTGTTTAACCGGCTGCTGCCGGCTTCTTACTAGGGTTTTCCGTTTCTTTCTGAAACTGGGTTTTATGGGATTTTGAAAGGCTTTGCAGGGTCGGATCGGTTTTGAGGGGTGTTGAAGGACGCGTTTAGTGGGTTGTCCCTAGATTGTTTCTTGGGGTATTATAGGGGTTTATAGTGTATTGTAGGGGTTTCTTACAAACCTTCTGGTGTCTATACCGGCTTCTACAGGGGTGTCGGTTTTTCAGGTCAAGACTTTTTGGAACCCTAAACCCTAAACCCTAACCCCGAAACCCTAAACCCCGGACCCTCAGTCCAGCACGATCCAGAATAACTACCTGGTGCCAGTCTTGTTCCTCAGGGTTCCGTATGATAAGGCCTCCCGGGCCTCCCGAAACCCGGATCGAATGATTAAGGTCCCTGCATTACGTGCTACATCTTCTTGAGCTTCGGATACGTAGAGCCTCGTACGTTGGGAAGGTCTCTGCACGAGATGACCCACAAGGTTTGAGTCAGAATCTATTTCGGCTTGATTTGGAATCGCTTCAGCCAGTTTGATGCCTCTTTTGCACTTGGTTGTTGCGTAAGTAGATGTGCTCACAGTGTGGATGAGGGACTGTCACATCACTCCGTGTGACCCTGTTCCTTTGGGCCCAATGCGAGGAACCTGTAGATGAGGCTCCTCTCCTTCAATCCCAGTCCCCAACTGTGTTTCGAAATCGATGGAGATTTCAGTTCCTCGACTATGCCTCTCTAAGGTGCCTGGGGGCTAGCCCACTAGTGCAGAACATAGCACACCTAGCCTGAGCGCGGACTTTTGATAGGTTCCCAGCCGAGTGGCTTCATGTCGCTGGCACCTCATCGCCGAATTCTCGTGACGGGAGCTAACAAGGGCATTGGCCTTGCCATTGTCAGAAAGTTGCTGACAGATGCCAGTGACACTTTCGTTTATCTTGGATCACGTGACAGAGCCCGTGGGGAAGATGCTGTTCGGAGTTTGATCGGCAGCCACCCCGAGTGGAGGGAGCGAGTGGAGCTCCTTCTGATAGATCCCACGAGCGAGCCGTCGGTCGCTGCGGCACGGCATAGGTTTGAGGCTGGTAGAATTGAGCTTTATGGCATCGTGAACAATGCGGGCTGTTTCATGAGTTTCTCGGAGATGTTGAAGCTTCACCTCTATGGCACCAAGAGGGTCAATGATGCCTTAGTGCCCCTCTTGACTCCCATTGGAGGACGTATTGTGAACATCTCCTCTGGGGGGGCGCCGACGTGTGTGGCAAAGTGCCGCGACGACCGGAAGGCGCTGCTCAGCAGCTCCCAGCTTCTCTGGGAGCAGATTGACGAGCTTGCGCAGGAGGTGGAGTTTCCATACCAAAGACGAATCTAAAGTATAGTTGCATTGTTTCCATGGATAAAAGACGAATCAAGGTAGAGTTGTAGTGCAATTAGTGTACTTGTCGTATACTGCAGATATTACACAGGAACCAAGGTGGAGGCTATCTTGCGAAGTTTGCCGGCGGATGCGGACGACACGGCTGTGGCCCGGGCCACTGGAATCTCTTGGGGTTTGGATGGCTATGGCTTCTCCAAGGCTCTGCTGAACTCCTATACGTCGTGGCTGCAGAAGCTCGGTTCCTGTTAAAGGAAGTTAGTTTAAGTTACCAGAGGAAGGACACCATCTCACTTACTACAGATCCCATTTGTGGTACGATTTCCTAGAGATCCGGACTATGGCAACATTCAGTATACATGCCTGTTCTGGCAGCTTCAATTCCGTTTATATCAAGTTCCTTAGAGCCCAGGCAGCATCATCCGAGCCTTATCGTCAGCTGCTGCAACCCGGGCTTTATTGAGACCGACCTCTCCCGGTCACACGCGGAGCAGATGGGAAAGACGCCGGCAGAGTTGGGGATGCTGGCTGTTGAGCAGGGCGCCGTAGTTCCCTGCAAGCTGGTTCTTGAGGACTTGGGCGAGAGGGGGCTCTACTACGGCAGCGACGGCAAAGCTTGTGGCTTGGCCCAGGTGGATCCCAATGATTTCGAATCTTGAGTGAGCCCTGCGCGGAAGCAATTGGGCTCTGACGCCGAATCGAATTGCCTTAGCGCCTTGGGCTTGGGGTAGGGCGTTAGTAACCCTAAGCCCTAAACCCTAAACCCTAAACCCTATAAACCCTAAACCCTAAACTTAGCGCCTTGGGCTTGGGGTAGGGCGTTAGTAACCCTAAGCCCTAAACCCTAAACCCTATAAACCCTAAACCCTAAACCCTAAGAGCCCTAAACCCTAAAAGCCCTAAACCCTACAAACCCTAAACCCCCTAAAAACCCTAAACCCTACAAACCCTAAGCTCTAAACCCTAAACCCTAAACCCTACAAGCCCTAAGCCCTAAACCCTATAAACTATCAACCCTATAAACCCTATCAACCCTATCAACCCTATCAACCCTCCCTAAACCCTATAAACCCTAAACCCTATAAACCCTAAACCCTAAACCCTATAGTAAGTTAAGGGCCAGTGGGGGTGTCACTTCGAGGACCTCCGGGTAAAATGCCGAACTGTTGGCCTCTGTGAGCCGGGGCTCTTCTTGGTAACTGCTAGTTTAGGGTCTAGGGGTTTAGGGTTTTAGGGGTTTAGGGTTTTAGGGTTTTAGGGGTTAGGGGTTTAGGGTTTAGGGTTCAGGGGTTTAGGGTTCTAGGGTTAGGGGTTTAGGGTTTAGGGGTTTAGGGTGTTTAGGGTATTAGGGGTTTAGGGTTTTAGGGTTTGGGGGTTTAGGGTTTAGGGTTTAGTATCTCCCAGCCTTGGCGCTTTCCATGGCTTTCCATCAGGTTGCGGCACCCCAAAGCCTAAACTCCCAACTCCCGACTCCTAGAACCTGCGTAGAGCCCTGACATTGAGCCCTAAACCCTAAATGGATGCCGTTCTAAACCCCCCGCCTCTTGTAGAGTAAGGCAGGCATTAGGGTCTTGCGTGGTGGTTGTAAAGAGTTAAAAACCTGCGAGCGCGCAAGCTCGTGCAAGGGCGGGCGCAAGATACATAACACTATAACACATGTACAGCTTTGTATTCATGTATGTATGGCTTTGTGTTTGCGTTTACCAGGTGTTACAACCCGTAACTAAGTCGAAATGCATGTCAATTTACCGCTTTACTTTGAAGTATGAGTAATTGTTTGTGAAGGGGTTATGTTGACATGAGTGAAACCCCTGCGTGCGCAAGATGGCACAAGGACGGGCGCAAGCACTGTCCAAATGCCTGGGCATGGCTCCGTTAATTTAGAACAACATCCAAATCCCTAAACCCCTAAAGCCTAAA